ATAATTTTTATTTTGCCCTCCGCATGAGTCACAAAATATTTTAAGATGTTTAATGGTTTCGGGCAAATAAGAAGTAATAAATTAATATAGCACGGAAACGTAAAATATTGCTTGTGAGGTAGAAAGAACATGTATATTAAAAAGAAAGTAAGACAGTTGTCATTTGTAATATTTAATTAGTGCTTATGTTTGGGACCTTTAAGTTTTTTTGCAAATCCATACAAATATTTTCGTGAGTAGCATTTTTTTGACTTTCCTTACGGGCCTCTTTTCCTGGTGTAAAATACTTGAGCTCTGCGTTTATGGAGCTCATTCTATACTTTCAAATTCCTGATCTTGTGCAGAATACATTGCTTTTGAGCCTCTTTACCTGCAGATGCTAAATCCAATTCGAGAGAATGTAAGGACGCCTTAAACTCATCACACGAACTGCAGGTGTCGGTGCGGGGGTAACCAAATGAAATATTATATTTGGTGTTAAAAATTTCCCGGTATGTTTCATATGACACAGGATTATTTGGATATTTTCGGTATACATTACGTGAAGTATTTTTATGTTAAGTTCTTCTGGTAAATGTAGTTTCTTGCTATGATGAAGACTATAATGCGCTTGGCGACATTTCAGTGACTTACTATGATTGTGAATTTGTTTATCTTGTTTCAGTTTTTGTTGTAAGAAGATTTTAGTTCGTTTTTTATGTAAATTGTTTAAAAGGAAAAGTTTTTATTAATAAAAAAATTAATAGTTATTAGTATATATGATTTGAAGATAAACTTGAAATAACAAAGTGAATAGATTTATTCGAAAGTTATTCTTTGATTTTTAATTATTTTTTGATTGACTTGCATAATGACTGCAAGTTTCTTGTAAATAAATTTTTAATTAAATTTTTAAAGAACTTCATATTTACGACATACTAAACTCCAATGCCCTTATACAGGATTTATGAAATGTTAGATTTAACCAAAAAGAGTGAAACAAAATGATCCTTCTTAAAAGTAACAAAATAGCAAATCGTTTCAAAAATCGGGCGTATATTTTTCTTTTGTTATGTAGATTTATTTTACACCCAGTGTTTATCTGGTTTGTTACAATTTTAGAAGTAACACATTGTTCTTTTGTAAAAAAGGAAGTTGCATTGTTTCTTATCCATTTTTCACTTTAACTTGTACGTTACAAACAACAATAAGTAATTAACACATTTAAAGTGCGCGCCTTCTTTATTTAGTATTGACTAAACCTGCTGGAGAGCGCGCAAATCAGTCGCATTTCGAGTGAGCCATCTATTACCCTTTGTATATCTATTATCTATGAATTTAACCCATTCAAATATAAGGTTCATAGATAAGACGAGACTATGGGAAAATCTATGACTATGAAATAAGATCTATGAGTAAGAACGATGATTATCTATGACTGATGATTGATCAGGATTGGTTGCCCATAGATAGTGGTTACCGATGGTTTGCATGATTGAAATCCAACTATTGAAATCATAGATTTTGAAATTAAGGAAATTATTTAATGTCAAACTCATCAGCCGAACCGATTTTTCTTTCGAAAAACATTTTGTTATTAAAAAATAACCGCTTCCGTATTTTTGATTTGCATTTTTGATATACTACATTAGCAAAATCACTTTGGTTAATGTTTCATATGGATTGTGAAAGAAATAGGTTAACTTAAATCTTAAAAGTAATTGCTGGTCTATTATTTAAGATATTTGAGACTGAAAAGAAAACGGAACTCCACATAGAACTGAAACTTCATTATAGTATAAGGCTGTCAGTAAAATTAGTGTATGCAATTTATTTGTTGTGAAAACAGCCCGAAATGGAAACCACAGATAACGTAATACAGAGAATGGAGAATGATCTACTTTGTCCTATATGCCAGGACTATTTCAAACAAGCTATAACACTCAATTGCACCCATTCCTTTTGCTACAATTGTATTAGCAACTGGCGAAAAACTAGGAATGAATGTCCAATTTGCCGTCTACATATCGCTGGTTTAACTGCAAGTCTTGCTCTAGACAATTTAGTATCTGCTTATACAAATCAAGAGAAAGTTAAGACTCAGATTATTGTTGAAGATAATATTAGTAGGTCTGATGGGTGGAATTCCAATGGAGAAGTAAGTTATCATAATGGGAACAGGAATCCAATGGATACTGAAGGCTTTGAAGGTGAATTTGAAGAAGAAGAAGAAAGTGATTCTGAACTTGCTGGAACTGATAGTGACTTTGATGGAGATATGGAAGAAGAAAGTATAATAGATATTACAGAAAACAGTGATTTAGGATCAGATAATATTTCTTCAGAAGAGGAAGAGGAAGAAGATATCTTCAATTCATTTGAATCATTTTCTGATATAAACAGCAGCAAAAGTAGCAGTGGTAGTGGTACCAATTCTGATTCGTTAGAGATACGTTTGTCATATAATTACGGTGATGGGGATGTTGAAGAAGAGGAAGATGATGAGGATGATGATGCTTATGATCTTGATGTCGTCTCTGATGACTCCATATAGTGTAAAAGAAATGTTGTTGCTGAGCATTGGGTTGTATTTCAATGTTTGGTATCTAATTATATCATATATGTAGATGTTATTTGTGCTGTTTGCTTTAAAACAGTAATAAAGGCTGTAAATCATTGATATTTCGTTAAATACCATTAAAAGTCTATTATACAAATACGTTATTTTATTTATTGTTGTTGAAAAAATGAAATCATCTCAAAATTTTAAACCAATTACTAACAACTTCATATGATAAAGAAAAATGAACAATAAATAATTTTTACAATATCCAGTTACGAATTTTTATCTTTCCATTATTAAATTAAATAATTTTTTGCCGGAAAAGTTCCTAGCAATAATAGCAATTTTTAAAAATTTTCCGAATGATATTTTGAGCTACGTTTATCCTCTTCATCCTTATCAAGGTTACATTCAAACGGTCGTTATAAAAACGAAAAATGATATCTAT